ATATATATTTTTCTATCTTGTTTCTATATATATATATGTTTCTATCTTGAATCTGCAACACAGTTGAGCAGAAAACAAACTAAAAAAAAAAAAAATAAATTAAAGATTTTGCATTGACCAGTCAAAGTTCAGCCTTGAATTGGAATGCACTGTGATGAGCTAAAGAGGCCGGTGCAGAAATAAACGTCTAAAACAATCAATGAAAGGAAGCAACGACTAGAATAGCAGCCACCATTTCTCCTCAGAGATATTAGAGGCTGATGAGGTCATATAGAAACGCTTCAATGATTTTACAGATAAACGTGGCCCTGCATGCTGCTCAGACATCCATTGCTTTTCATTTTCAACAAATTATGCACCAAATTTTACGATAAATTTGTAAAATAAATGTGTGTTAGTAACGATAGGCAATATGATTTTATTTAGTTTTGTCTTAGGGGTCAGTCAGGGTAGGCGTCATTTTTACAACGTCCAGTGTCAGGGAAACATTTTGCCATACTGAGATTAATCGAGGTAACTTTCTGCCAAACCACGAACAGTGAAAATACGAAGCGGCACCCGGTTGTTCTGACTTCCTCTCCTGTCCTCCCCTGCGGTACGCTAGGCGGTTGGGGCGCGTGCAGCACTGCCGGATCCACTCTCGCCAGGAAGCTGGCAGCCCCAAGTTCTACCTGACGGATAACCTGGTGTTCGACTCGCTCTTCGCTCTGATCACCCACTACCAGCATGTGGCGCTACGCTGCAATGAGTTTGAGATGAAGCTGACCGAGCCAGTGCCTCAGACCAACGCTCACGAGAGCAAGGAGTGAGTTTGCAGGAATCTTTTAAACTCCTAGAGAATGTTTTGATGGTGTTGTTCACGGGTGTATTCACTGTGTTCTTATTTAAACTCAGATTTTACCTGGCTTTGTTTTCACTGATAAATCGATACCTTGGAATCGGAATGAAGTTATTCATGGTGTGTTTTGGGTTGTTTGTAGATGGTACCATGCCAACCTTTCCAGGAGCCAGGCAGAGAACATGCTGATGAGAGTTCCTCGTGATGGGGCTTTCCTAGTCAGGAAAAGGACAGAGCCCAACTCTTTTGCCATTTCATTCAGGTAACTCCTTCCTGATGCCCTGTTGATTGATGCCTATATTATCCTTTTTAATCTATATAGAGCTTTTATTTTAATTCACTAGACCTGGTCTAGCCATTAGCTGTTAGTGCAGCTCTCCAGTATTGATGCCCCTGGATCCTTTCTATGTTTTGTCTCGTCACTCTTAACTGCAGTGTTTTATTGGGTTTTTATGTGATAGACAAACACAATCTACTATTAATAAAGTGGAAGGGAAATGATATGTTGTTAATCTAAACTAAAGTGAGGGTAACACTTTATTTGAAGGAGGGTGAATAAGACTGACATAAACACCTGTCATGAACATGAATAAGCCTTCATGAATATTAATGACTGTTGTCATAAAGCATCATTCGGTAAATTATGACACTTTTAATACAAAGTTGACATTATCCAAAATGCCTTTGTTATGACAACTTGACATTAACCAAGAAATCAATAGTGAAATTAAAAGACTAATTTTCTATCGTTGTGTTTGTCCAAATACATTTAAATGTGGCTGCAAAATGTCAAACCTTTGTCGGGCATTGCACGCTTCTAAAACTTTATTCCTCATGTTCTCATTGTGGCCGTGTGGATTCTTGTTTGGCTTCAGGGCCGAGGGTAAAATCAAGCACTGCCGAGTGCTGCAGGAAGGTCAGGTTGTGTTGCTGGGCACCTCAGAGTTCGACAGCCTCGTCGATCTCATCAGTTATTATGAAAAGCACCCCCTGTATCGGAAAATGAAGCTACGCTATCCCATCAACGACGACACACTGGAGAAGATAGGCACTGCTGTGAGTGCTACCCGCTGCGTGTTTACTAGACATTAATTAAAAATAACCAAACTCCACCAGTCGGAACGCTCCACAGTCTGTAAACACTGCATGTTGACCAACAGGAGCCAGACTACGGGTCGCTGTATGAGGGCAGGAATCCGGGCTTTTACGTGGAGGCCAATCAAATGCCAACTTTGAAGGTGAGTTTCCATCGTCTCTGAACACTCGCGCTTCCTCACCGGTGGCGTTTGTCCGTCTAATAATTCTCTCTTGTTGTTCCAGTGCACAGTCAAAGCCATGTACGAGTACAAAGCTCAGAGAGACGACGAGCTCTCCTTCTCCAAGAACGCCGTCATCACCAACGTAGACAAACAGGAAGGTGGATGGTGAGTGAGAAGTGCGGGAAATTGTTTTTCCATTCGCAGACATTGCATTTTTTCTAGGAAGAGAACAAGAGCAGTGAGTGTATTATAACAGAGTGGCGCTGTGTTAGAAATGCACTTTAACTTTTTGTGTTTGGCGCAGGTGGAAAGGTGACTGTGGGGGGAAGAAGCAGATGTGGTTCCCTGCAAACTACGTTGAGGAGATCAGCCAAGCGGCAGCGGAGCCAGACAGAACTGTGAGGATCGTCGCCTTGTTGTTTGTTCTGCTGATCATCACTGATCTCTCTCATTGGATCCCTGCATAATGTGGAATAAAATGTCGACGGAGATCAAACACTTTGTAATCTGTTTCTTTTTTTGTCTTCTCTGTCATGCAGGAGATGACAGAAAACAGCCCTCTCGGAGATCTGCTGAGAGGAAGTGTGGATGTAACTTCCTGCCAGATTAGTGAGTAGCCCCTCCACTTCCTGTCAGCCTCTGCTGCAGGGCTGCAGAGCAACCTGCTACCTTGACAGCGGGCCCCACTTCAGGCTGAAAAATGGAGGCGCCTGCTTTCTGTGTTATTACTTTCCTGACTGCCTTTTTATCGGCCTCCTTCTTAATTCATTGCTCATAGGGCTTGATTATTTTTTTATATAGGTTTTCACACACTTTTATCTCATAGTTTGATCATGTTCAGACTAGGGAAAACCACAGTGAATTAAAAGATAAGGTTCAAATTTTACCCACAGAGCATTAATTTGGAAACCAACGTAAAGCTTCTGTGCAGACCTGTTTTATCAGTTTGCCTTTAAGCCACCACACTGCCGAGTTTTGACAGTTTCATGAAGAAAACGATAAAGTTTACTGTGCTGGTTTTCATTTTATTCTCTCATTGTGAGGAGAATAACATTTGTCTTTAAGTATCAAAGGGTCAATTTTTTAAAAGTATCTGACAGATAAGCTGAGTTATTTACTAAGGAAAACATTTAATCCAAACTAATGGGATCCTGTGTGAAAAGGGGGTCAGGTGTAAACCTCATCACTGCGCTTCAGGTTTGCTTCCCCTGCAAACACCCAGATAGTTTTGCAGTGAATACAACGAAGCCTCTGACTGAAGACTGTTGCTGTATGAGCGGGTCATGACTGTCAGAACATGCTTCCAGTTCAGTTTCAAGGCAGCAGAGATGATATTCCACAGTAACCCTCTCTGGATGACGACATCATCGTCACTTACCGTGTTTTCGCTTTTTGCCACCGCTCTTTATCTGACCTTGTGGTTAGAAAGCTGGGCAGAGAAACGTTGGAGTCAATCTTTGCCCTTTATTATCGATTTAACAGATAGTTTGAACTTCCTCTTTCTCTCTCTGCTCTTTAGTTCTGCTCTGAATCCATGAAGTCTCCTTTTCAATTCCTCTAGGATTTGGAATTGTAGCTTGCGTATTATCTGAGCCGTTGAGATGCTTATCAGCTGCTCTCGATTGTAAAAACTACACCTTGTTGTCAAGGTTACACATCACAACAACTGGAAAAAAGTTTAAAAAACAAAGACAAAAAAAGAAAAAAAATCTGTCCAGCTGCACAGCATCCAAAACAAGAGGAAATAATTATCCTAACATCCAGTGTCTCAGACAAAAAAAAGGAAGTATGAACAAATTAAGTTAAATATTGTCCCAGCAAATTCTCTTATTGTATTTTTTTGCGGCTCAACATCTCCATCTAGTGGCATTAAAATAAATCATTTTCATTTAAAAAAAAAAAGTGAAGCAAAACATCTTCAGCACAATTCTTAGTGCTTTGCACATAATCTAGATTTAACTTTATTATTTGGTAACTTATGTAATTTGTGTTGCTTTTATTTAGTTATTAACCATGGCCTAATGGAAGCCCAACATGATATGGTAATATATTATTTCCCCCCCCTTTTTTTTCTTTTTCTTTTCTCCTCTCCAGTCACCCGCACTGAAGGGAAGGGCAGCAGACCGTTTGTCTTCTCTCTGGTTCAGAATAACACGGTGCAGGCCACTTTGCTGGACGTGGCTGCCAACAGCTTAGAGGAACTTCAAGACTGGAAGACGAAAATCCAGGAAGTGGCTGCGACTTCTGAGGCCAAGGTGAAGACGCAGATACGAGATGCGTATCAGGAAATGCACAGAAACATGAAGTCGGCCTCCTTTATAGTAGCTGTAAATATTTAATAAGCACCAACAGCGCGGTGCAGTGAATGCTAATGTTGAGCTGTATGCTACCCTCACTGCTGCCATGTTTACATTTTTTGTGTTTCTGTGCTCAGCTGGAAGAGGGCAAGATAATGGAGAGGAGGAAGAAGATTGCGTTGGAGCTATCAGACCTGGTCATCTACTGCAGGCCGGTGCCGTTTGATGAAGAAAGTGAGGAATAACACACAACCTCCAGATAGCGATCTGTGATGAAGTTAAACCTGTTCTGAGATCAGCCGCGGTTCCCTCCCTCTCTGCCTCACTCAGAGATCGGCACGGAGCGGGCCTGTTTCCAGGACATGTCGTCCTTTCCCGAGACCAAAGCGGAGAAGTATGTCAACAAAACCAAGGGGAAGAAGTTCCTGCAGTACAACCGGCTGCAGCTGTCCAGAATCTACCCCAGAGGCCAGCGGCTCGACTCCTCCAACTACGACCCGTTCCCCATGTGGCTCTGCGGCTCTCAGTTGGTCGCGCTCAACTTTCAGACTGCTGGTAAGTCGAAGTGCAGACAGGAGAATTAATCTTTGGGGTTTCTTTTTTTTTTCTGTTTTTTTTTTTTTTCCCTCACTCATTTCACCTTCGTTGTCTATTTCCGCTCTGTCTGCCCACAGACAAGCCGATGCAGATGAACCAGGCGCTGTTCATGCTGAATGGAAGGAGTGGCTACGTCCTCCAGCCTCCCATCATGAGAGACGACTCCTTTGATCCCTTCGACAAAAACACACTACGCGGCGTAGACCAAGTCTCAATGAAAATAGAGGTAAAGTCAAAGGTTTAATTCTAGTAAAAGAAGACGAGGAGAATTTATGAAGACGGCTTGGAAAAGTTGATTAATTGCGGTTTAGCTTTGTTACTTACGAAATAAAATTAAAAGACTTAAGACATGTTTAGGTACCACAGCAATAGTTATAGTTTTGCCAGTCAAAAATAAATGTAGTGAAGTTATTATTTTTGAATTCAAGTGTAAAAAAGCCTGGAGGTGAAATATAATTAGAAAGAGCTGGAAATGAACTGCAATAGAACCGAAGGGGGTAAAAAAGATAGAGTCTTCATTTAAAATGTAACTTTGACATTTTATTAGATTTCTTTTTTTTTTTTAATGTGTGGTGCACCGATAATTTTTTTTTCTTGAACTGTGCATTCATGCTTAAAGTAATTAAAATCAATTAAACCCACTTTAAATCCGAGGCTTTTAATCATTTCTGTACATTTAGGATTTGATTAATTTTCCACAGAGGTTTCTATTTTGATTTACTCTGGTTCAGGAGGTAAGGACTTGATGGAGTCGATCATGTGCGATTTTATAGACTTCAGCTATAAAAGTTAAATAACTTTAAAAACAGAAAAGACCCTCTTTTTTTATCATACATTTGCTATTCCAGGTGCATGGGGGATTGCTGTTGCATTTTGTTTTTACACTTTTGAAATGAAAGTTAGAAGCGATTCTTTACGGTCAGAAATCCTGTTTTCCGTCTTTAGCCAATTCTTCAGCTACTTTCAATCAGAAGAAACATGCTGGTAAAATGAAGAGATTATTTTAAATTTAATTTTGCCCTTTACTGTGTCGCTGTCTTCGTTTTGTTTGACTTCGACACGGTAAGCGTTGCAGCGACATAGTAAGACAACTTTCAGCAATGTTTTTATACTTCAGTCGGCTGTTGTAGGGAGCACAACTCGGCAAGAAGGCTGCAAAGACGGGAAACCACCTCCTAAGAGGAGCTGTGAGATTGTTGTTCCCCCTCAGTTCAGTCTAACCAGGGCTGTCTTTCACATGCTTTCAGTTCTTTGTGGTAATTTGCCACAGAAAAACTTTGCTCACAGCAACCTATTTTTTTTTTCTTCTTCTTCTGCATGCATTCTTTACCACGCTGCACGTTTTCTATGCTTGCAAACTCCCAGACTGCATCCGCATCTCAGAGATGTGTTTTTTTTTTTTTTTTAATTAAAGTCTAAATACCTCAAAATAAGCCAAAAGCAGTTTCGCAAAAATTGTAAATCAAGCAGTGTGAGAAATCATAAACTTCAAGCTGACTGAAATTATATGCAAAAACTAGAAACAAGTTGTATAAGTCCAGCTCAGCATAATAAATCTAGATATATATATAAAAAAAAAAAAGAGTCTAATGAATGATTGCATATGTATTTGTAGTTTGAGGTATGATGAATGTGAATTTCGTTGCTTTTTCTTTCAAGGTTTTGGGCGCTCGGCACCTCCCGAAGCACGGCAGAGGCATCGTCTCTCCTCTCATCGAGATCGAGGTGTGTGGGGCGGACTACGACAACGACAAGCAGAAAACGGAATCCGCAGGTGAGCGCCGCTTCAACTGCAGCCGCAGATCTCTCTTCCAGGAATGGGCCTGTGCGCCAAAACCGTAGGAAGGAGTTATTTTTAAATGTATTTTTTCATTGTTTACTGGATCAATTACCTTTTGTGTAAAATTTCCTTTGTGGTCCTAGAAAAACAGGAAGTTGTGCAAACAATTTGGCCTTGTCTGGGAATACAAAAGCAAAACATTGTGCAGCGTTGACATCATCGTAGTTTGTCAGGTGGAATGGTTAGCGTTGAAACTTGTGGGGCTTTTTTCTAAAAATGTTGTAGATTTTAGTTTTTGTATTTTTCAAATGAATCCAGTTGAATGAGAGTCATCAGAGCTTCTATTAGTGCAGTGATGCTCTGATCAGACAACATGCCTAATAGCATGTGGCTCCTTCATGTCAATAAAAGCCGGTTGGCAACGTTGTCGTAGTTGGTGGAATGTGAGAAGGGAGCGCCACACTGCCCCCTGGTGGCAGAGCCACGATGGTGTCTCCAAAGTAAGCATCATTCTCCCAGATTTTATTTTTAAAAATCTTATTAATCAGATCCAATTCAGATCCTCTGTTTGGGCTGGTGATGTAAAGACCAAATATTATGTAGTATATTCCAGTCATTATACGGGAAAATCTTCTCTTAGCTGTTATCAATAATATTGATCTGACTGAATGTTTTGGACCAGATTTTTCTTTTGGAGGGAGTAAAAAATGAATGCAAACAGTTCGTCATAGGTTTCCAGCTGGTTATGTTTTAGTGCAATTATTCTGCATATCTTTTTTGAGGAAAATGTAATTTTGATTAAATCATATGTGGATACATATTGTATAGTTCTCATGTTTCTCTGATCATTTCTTATTTTGTATCAGTTAATGATATTGCTCAGCGATTATTTATGAAAACTTCTCATAAGCCTCGTATCTATGAATCGGTTTGAGAGCTCTGATTACATAACTTATCGAAAGGGCTGATATTGGTACACAACAATGGTTCTCTGAAGAATAGTAATAGAATGATTATTGGAAATTATTCCCTCATACAATCAATTAATCCATTCTAAATCAAATTAACCTAATGCAATGATTCAGTAAAGAAACAAAACAAAAGCTCAGCTCAGTATTCCTGGATTTCTGAGTGTCTCCTGTTGCTCCAATGTCTGCGGTCTCTTCCAGCTGACAACGGCCTGAACCCGACCTGGCCCAGGAAGTCCTTCTCCTTCACCGTCTGCAACTCCGCCTTTGCTTTCCTGCGCTTCGGGGTTTATGAAATCGACATGTTCAATGACCAAAACTTTCTGGCTCAGGCGACGTTCCCCATTCAGAGCCTCAAGACAGGTGTGTGTGTGTGTGTGTGTTCCCCAGATCTTTGTCTTTGAGAGGAAACTCTCGATGCTGCGTGGATGTAAGCAGCTGTAAATGTGCGTGTTTGTGTTTTTCAGGCTACAGGTCGGTACCGCTGAAGAACAGCTACAGTGAAGATCTGGAGTTGGCTTCTCTGTTGGTCCACATGGAAATCACCAGAGGCAGGGTGGGTTAGTCTCTTTAACCGAGCTCCTTCTAAACCTGCCGGGTTATAAAAGCCATAAGGCAGCATGCACTTGCTCCGTATAGATGTTATTGTTTTGTGATTTTAATGCTAAACCAGGAGGTTTGCTGTTTTTAATCGAGGAAAGCCGCAAGAGTATTTTATTTTCTTGGCTTTATGCAAAGACGGTTAAAAGTGTCCAGACACTCAACTCTGGGAGAGTCGATTCTCTCACCTATGAAGAAGTGATACTCGTCTATTTACAGATGCATATCTGGAGCTGCATGTTCACACCTGCTCTAGGTGTGAGAACATGTCGCTGACCAGTGTGAGATGAGGGGAAAAACGTGTATATATTTTACAAATTGTTAAATATAATTCCAACCTACTAGATTTACACTGATATTTTGTATGCAAGTGTTATATTCTAGGTTTTAAAATGCCTTAATTTATTATTTTAGACAAAATCTTCAAATCAATATCTTCATTGACGTTAAACCCTGAAGAGATTATGGCATCTCCATAAGACAGCTTCTGCCACTTCTGTAGCTTTGCACCAAAAACCTAAACTTTATGTTGTAAATGGGGAATTTTATTTCGGTGTCGGTGGTGGTGTTCACTATTTAAAATGTAAATACTATTTTTAAGTCAATTGTACTTGACACCAAATGGCAGAATTGTACAAACTGAATAAAATCTGTTGAGAAATGTTCCAGTTTAGTTTTTTTTTTTTTTCTTTTAAGTCTCCGATTTTTTACCATTGGATCGGGTTTTGGGGGGGACGACGATAGTTTCAACACACCGCCTTCACCGACGTTTGTTTGTAACCTTTACTTAACGAGGAAGAGGAAAAACTCACCGAGATTAAAAATGTAATTTACCGGCGTCCTGGGCTACACAACAGCAAAACGAGACAATTTCAGCCTTTGAAACGTTTTAAATATAAAGTTTATAACTGTTCAACGAAACCATTTCCTCAATCTTTCGATCCTGCTATAATCCCCTCCAGTAATGAGGAGCAGAATATTTTAAAGCGCTCTTTCCCAGTTCTGTCCTGGTAATTTGAATCTCACTTCAGAGCAAGACTAGACGGAGGAGCTGACTGGAAATTCACACCAGGTAGAAAAAAAAATCCTCAGAGTAGAAGGGTGAGAGTAGCGACTGATGAACAGTCAGTCGCCTCCTCCTGTCATCAGCCGGTGAATCAATCAGACTTTGAACTGGAGACGAATTCAAGCCGTTTGGTTCAAAGAGTTACAAATATAGATCAAAAAAATGTGAATAGCGTGAAAGTTCATTACTTTCTGCTTCTCGTTTGCAAAAGTTAAACCTTCATGCACGTTCTTTTGGTCAGACTACAAAACAAAATATACTGGCTGGCACAAAAAAGAAAGAATCCTTTTCAAGCTTTGTAAGAACTCGTTTCGCTTTTATTGCGGCATTTTCTGTGACATCGTTTCAGCCCGCTGAGTCGCTGTCACCTTGTAAAATTCCCCCACGTCATCAGGGAAGAACCAATCACTTGATAAAATAATCTGGTCCTTCAGGTCAGCTGACCTCATAATGTTGCTGAACTTTGACCTGACCACCCCCCTCCAGATCACAGTGCTGCCCTAACAGGCTTGATATGGGTGCTTCACTTCATCTGCCTCTCTTCTTACCCTGATGCGCCCGTCGCTCTGGAAGAGAGTAAATCTGGACTCATCAGGTTACATCTTTATGCCTCCGTCCTCCGGTTAGCCTCACTGATTAGTGGTTTTATGGTCACACAGCTGTTCAGTCCCAGTTCACTGAGTTTCCCTTGACGAAATGCTTCTACTTTCTCTACCAAAGACCGCTCTGATTTCTACTCTGGTTTTTCTTTAATTTGGTGTCGCCAAACGTGCAGTTGATCGCGATCACAAATTCCTTTTATCCACCCACATTTCTTCCTCAAAGAAATGAATAATGTATTGATATTAGTTGCTCCAGCCTCTTTAGATGGTTTGTCTGCTTGATGCCAATGATTGGACTGACATTCTTGTTTAAGAAATGAGAGGCGGCTACTCTTTGCATCAGCTGGGGTGGAAGAACTTTCCAGCTGGAAGACGGTCACCAGTGTAACAATAGGAAAGTCCTGCTGGACAAAGAACCTGGCATCTCCATGCGGCTTGTCAACAGAAGGAAGTGTGAGCTGCTGTAAAACTTCCAGGTAGACGGAGGGCGTTTGGTGTTGGAAACGTCACACTGGGCTTTAAGCAACGAGGCTTCTGTGCCTCTTCACTTTTCCTCCAAATTCTGCGACCTTCATTTCCAAAAGAAATGTGAAGTTTACTTTCATTTGAAAGGATGACTTTGAACATCTAAACGACAGCGCGGTTAATTTCCTCCTTAGCCCAGGTAAGATGCTTCTGACGTCTCTTGATCAGCCATTGATCGATGTGTGCGCTGGAACTTGATGACTCCAGCCTCGGTCCACTGAATGGATTTTGCTTTTCCTTTCCTGCGAATTATGCTTTAGCTCTTTCCACAATATTCTACTTTCCTGAGGCACTGAATTTTGAGTTTTCGTCTCCTCTGAGCGACAATCTCTAAAACTACAAGAAATGTCGGCTCGTCATAGTTTGAAAGTTTCACTTCCTTAAATTAATGACAAAATTGTTTAACTTTTTCTTCATATTCTAAAATTTTGAGCTGTGTTTGTAATAGAAGTCGCTTCAGATTTCTGCTGAACGTCCAGCCTCGACTGACGGTTTCTCTTTAAATAGCTTCAGGCTTCCTGTCCCTTCATTCTCACCTCCCCGATGATGAAAATAGCTCCGAGTCGTCTTTACTTTGTAACAAGCTGCATCCTGTTTAAACAAGTCATTATAACTCCTCTAACTTAGAAGACGTGATGATCGCTCGGCTTCATCGCCTCTTCTCTTAGCTGTTGAGGAAATCTCTCGTCTTCCTTTTGTTTTTTTTAGACCCAAACCCGGTGAAATCAAAAGCTTTTACTGTCGGACCAGCAGCTGTGCTGATCCTGGATCATCTCTCCTGTTTTGCTCCGTGGTTTCCAGGATGAGAACGGGGAAGTCCTGAGCCCGTTCTCCGCGGCGGGGAGCGCGTCGGCGCCGGCATCGGCGGCACAGGTGGGACGAGAGCTGGGCTCCGTGTCCTCGACGTCGTCCACCACGTCCCCACTGCCCCAGTCGCCGGCTCAGGCCATGTCCTACAGAGGGAGGGAGGGCTCGTTCGAATCCCGCTACCAGTCACCCATCGACGACTTCAGGGTGTCCCAGGAGGCGCTGCTGGACCAGATGGACCCTCAGAACCGAAGGTGAGCGTGTGGACAGCTGGACAGCTGCTGTTGGTGGTGTTAGGAAGACGAGGAGCTCACCCTCCTCTCCGTCTTCTCTCCAGGATGCTGCGGAGGACCAGTCGCCTCTCCCCGTACTGATGATGTCACTGACTGCTGTGTGATTGCTGTTTCCATGGAAACGCCCACCACCGCTTTGGCCTACATTTCAGGCAGCTCTCCCTCCTTCGATTCCTCCTACAAACCCCCCCTACCCCCCACCCTCCTCCTCCACTCCCCACATCTCCGCCTCTGTGTCCCACTGAGGAGGAGGGAAAGGACGCTGCGGGGTGGAGGGGTGCTTGACAGGAAGCAGACGGCGGCAGGCAGGAAGAAGAAACTGGAAGGCTGGAGGAGTCCTGGACTGTGATTTCCAGTGTTGTTGTTGTCGTCGTCGTCGTGACAACAGCTGCTGAGTTTGGAGACCAAGTGGAAGAAAAGGGATAGAGCTGGTTCCGGTTTCGGTTCCTCCTCTCTCTGCTGCTTGGGCAGATATTTATTCCTGCTGCGCCGTCGGCCGGAGAGCAGCAGCAGCAGCAGCAGCCGGCCTGCTCTCAAAGAGCTCCTGTCTCCATGTTTTTAAATATTCCGCTTATTTAAACCTTTAAACATTCATAATGTGACTTCATGTCGGCGTGAACCATGAGGGCTTTCTACGGCTACGTTTTAACCTCGCTCTGCTTCGTGACAGACATTTTACGTGCCTCCGCTCTGACGCTGACTTACGACCTGGACTGAAATCTCAGAGGCGTTTCTGTTTTTATTGTTATTATTAAAGGCGGGAGGAAGAGGAAGAGGCCGTGGCCTGTCTTTTGGGTTCCAAGGAGCATCTCGTTTCTCACTTACATTCCAGCAAAAACAAAAGCTGCACATCATTCCATCGTCTTGCTTTGCTAACCGGCTCCACTGACCCTTCTGGCACCTCGGCCGTGTGGTGATGGAGGTCAGGCCTGGACTCTGATGGTGACTGATTGTTGTTTCTTTTTGGTTTTTCTGTTTGCACCCGCTACCATCACGTTCTTATCCTCATCAGTGTCTTAAAACACGCAACTTGGTAAACGATACATGTTTAAGATGTTCAAAATTCATCTGAGGAATGTCAGAGAACAGGAATAACCTGGTTCCATAAACACACCGTTCAGCTTTTTAGTTTTGAGGAAGCTTGTCGCACATTTGGCCTCTACTTTTCAAAATGGCCTCCAAACTTATCATCCCTCAGGTTGAGCCAAAACTTTTATTTCTGGTGAAGAGATTCTTTTGTCTCTTGCCTGATTTAGTGGAAACTTAAATCGACTTGATTTCCAGCAGACGTCTGAATTTTAACGACCCCAGATCATAATGCTGCCACCACCATGTTTCACTGTGTTCTGCCAGATGTGCTTTGTGTTTTTCCTGTTCAAATTCTAACTTATGGTAGTTATGTTTAAGTTCGTAGCAGATTCTCTTATGATGTTTTGAGAGATTTTATCCAAGCCTTGATTTTTTTTTTTTTTTAATCCGGACAGTTGGAGAAATACAAGAAATGTTTGGAACAGAACCAGAATATTCAGCTTTCTCAGAGGTCCTGACAGCGACTTGGCAGCCACACTGACTGGTCTTAAATATGTTTAGTCAATAACTAAAATGAAACTTAGGTTTTAAACTTAACTTCTGAAACCAATTAGGAAAAAAAAAAAAAAAAAAAACTCTGTCAGCCAGAAATAAAACATAATTTAAGGGCACCAGTGCAGTTTTCCTTTGGAAAATGAAATCTTGTGTATTTAAGAATCAATAAATGGATTAAAGGGCATAAATATCTGCAGATTATTTGTAATGGCTCATAATATACATTTCTCTAAAACGTTTTAATGCGTAAAATTGAGATTCTTAACTATAAGACACTTACAGACCCCCAGAAACTGTGAGTCTCCGTCTAGTTTCTCCAGTTTAACGTCTGCAGACGTCAGAAAATGCCTCCTCCGGTAGGAAGGTGTGCTAACTTATGCAACGAGGTTCAAGCGGATTTGTTTATGTTCAAGTTCAATCATACAGGCTGCGTCACATTAAAAGTGTAAAAGCCTATAAAAATATATATATATATATATATTTTTTATCAAAACAACATGAACTTTATCAGCAGTGTGTGAACTTAAGGTTCACACAGGAGTCTGCATTCATGCTGATCATTCTGCTCATTCCTAATACAGGATATTCATGCTGGAATTATGGGTAAAAAAAAAATAAAAATAAGATGGGACTTTGTAACAGTGACCCAGCTTTGCAGCCCAGTATCCCAGTCTGCATCGTTTTCTGCTGATGAATTCAGACGTAGGTCGATTCTGAAGCGTCACTGAAAAAGTTTTAGCTCTGCTCACGCGGCTTTCTGCTTCCCCCCTCCCCTTCCTTCCCCCCCGTGTGTTTTTGGTGCAGGTGGAGTCACAGTATTAAGATAAACGAGTATTGAAGACCAGCACTGACCAAATGATAATGAATGAAAGGTCCAAAGAGTTCAGCTCACCGCTGCGTCTCGTCGTTACATGCCTGGAAACGGATTAGCCTTTAGCTGGGCTCAGGGTCCAGGCTGGCTGGACAAACAGTGTTTTCCCTGATTTGACTGAACGGTCGATGATATTCAGATTCTTGCTCAGTGTTTTGAGACGCATTTTAAGCCATAAAGGACGATGTAAGGTGAAGGCGGGGTCATCATGCTGGACGGCTGGGGCATTTTGTTGCATTTGCACTCGATTGTTTCCCAAAGCTCCTTTTGTGTTGCATGTACTCTTCCTCCAGTGTGTTTAGTTTTTTTAATGTGTGTGTGTGTGTGTGTGTGTGTGGAACAATGCATTGCTCTCATTTCTGGCCTATCTCCACACACACACACCACATTGAAGCCACATTTCCCACAGCCCATGGTCACGTATTTTGATGGTTTGCTGCTCGGCACCGTGTGAGCATGTGCAGAACGACTCAACTGTTTGATGTTGTCGGACTATTCTCCATAGTGACATCAAATCAAGCTGAATAACAAAGGACGCCTGTGTGGGGCCTTTAACTGTAATTTGTTTCGCTTTTTGTTGTTGTTGTTGTAATTTTATCGATGTTTCTTTCTGCTAGCGTCGGCCTCATTTTACATTTGCCTTCCTGTAATGTGCCTAAACCTCAATGACGAGAAGTATTAATTTTAATTAGTTTTTTTTGCCTTTCATATGGAACATATTCAAGCCTGAAAAGTAAATAAAATACTCACTGCTTTATACATCCTTACTGGTCCTTATTTTTCTTAAATTGTTCATTGAGGCGCAGATACTTGTGTTTTTTTTAAACTTCCGGGAACCCGAACGGAAACGAACGGCTTTAAGACGTGTGAGCAGCCGACAAACATGAGGATGAATAATCGAACAGAACCGAAAATGAGTCACGTGGAAGCAAAGGGCATGAACTTTTAAAACTTTTCTGAAATAATTTGGTATTTCAAATGGGAAAAATCAAGTATTTATGGAAGTTGAGCTTTTTTCTTTTTTTTTTTTGTCCAAAGCAAAAAGTGAATTTTGTTGGAATTTTATGTGATGAACCAACATAAAATGATGCACAACTACCAGATGGAAGGAAACACTGTTTTCAAAAATGGTTCCAAAGTAAAATATGACATTTGTTGCATGTGTATAAATGTATTACTTTGTAAATCCACACTTTTACAGCTGCAGACGTTTTGAGGCATGTCAATTATCTGTGTACATCTAAATGCTAAACATTTTCAGCTATTCTTTGCAGAACATCAACTAGGAGCATGTATTTGTGAGTCTGGACTTTGACTGAGCCATTCTCTCCCACATATTTGCTTTAAACTAACCCTGGGTTGACCAAAGGTTGGGCTTTTTGCAGCCATCAGAATGAGTTTGTGCTGCCCTGAATCCCCGATTTAAGAAAAGTGAATCTTTAGGGTGCAGGAAGCCTTTGAAAAATGCAAAATGCTAAAATTGAAAATGCTAGGTACAGCTTAAGACATTTAGGTTGCTATGCATTCTTTTTGCTTTCATTTTAATGCAAGTGCAACTCTTACTTAGAAGCGGATTAAGAAAACTCAATTACAAACACCCTCCCTATGCGTTTTCCAGCCATTTTATAGCACAATAAATGATCACCTTTATTTATCAACTGCTGTATTTATCAAACCTAACTTAATAGGAATCTGACTGCAATTGGCCCGTGTCTTTTTAAGCACGTCAATCTCTACACAGTTTATATCACATTAAATCTCAGTAAAATTCACTTTAAAGTTTCTGTAATTTGTCTCCTAAACAAATTATCCTTCAAACGTTAAAAGGTTTCAGGTGGTTTTGTTTGGTTCCCTCATCTTGGACCAGTGAAGGAGAAACGAGTTTGAATTCCTTACATTCTGTTTATTCTCCAAATGCATCGGTAAAAATTGTACATCGAGCATAAGTATGGAACTGTGGTAAAAGTTCAGATCTTTTGCATTTGTTCCTAAGAAAGTTCCATAAAAACAAACGAGACGTAGAGAAGCACGCGATGCTACGAGAAGATCCGAACTCCACGTGGTTTCAGAGCGACGTCCCGTTCCTTCGGGCGTCGCAGGGTGCCCGCCTCCACTCCAAACGTCTCCCAGACCAAAGTCCGTCCGTCCGATCCGAGCAGAGAAAACGCACCGACAGCAGCCGAGTTCGGACGTTTAGCTGAGCAGATAGAGCAAGACTGGGAAAAAGAAAAAGTTCATCGAAGGCCTTGGCGAAAACGCCCAGCGGCGACGACTTGATAAACTTCCCATCACTCTTTGTCAGACCTCCGTCCACCAAACATGTGGTCATCAAGTAAAACTGGGGTGATGGCGTCACGTGGCACACGGAGGGACCGAGGGCTGGCTCTGGTGTCCGTCTCTAGTAGAGGCCAGTTTCAAACCACTGATCCGGTTACAAACCATCTGCCGTCCTGCCGGAACAAAGACCACCGGCCTTGTGAACTCCGTCCTCATACTAAGGCCTCTTCACTTCCTGTAGAGGGGAAAAAAAAGCAACAAATGATTCAGAAAAGATGTAAATCTATAGTTGAGCTGTTCAGTTGGGCCAGACAGGCGGGAAGTGAATATCTGCCACAGCACGCCTCATTACTCCTCATCATAGTATTGGTGTGTTTGTAGGTTCCACCCTGGTATTTCTGTGCCACCTGATCATTACACACACACACACACACACACACACACACACACACACACACACACACACACACACACACACACACACACACACAGCTGTTGACGCAGCACTCAATTTCTCCCACAAATTACGTCAGTCTTTCAAATGTCTTCCAGTTTTTCTTTGTTGCATTTAGTTATTAAAAGGTGTGTGAGTGGTAGCTTCTTGAAAAAATCTAATTTTACTTTACACACACATTTTTCTTGTAGTTAAAAAAATAAACAACAACCATGGAGTCCAGGACTACCTGTAGCAGCAGCAGAGCTGTCGGCGTCGGCCTCCGCCCCGCACACCGACTGCTCCATCTTCTCCTCCGTCCCGCCGCCCTGCTGTGGCTCCGGAGCCGAGGATCCTGTTGGCGCCGCCGCCGCTTCCTCTGCGCCGATGGCTCCCGTTCCCGCCCGCTGTGCAGCGCTTTGCTTAGCGTCGGGCATCGCTCCCCTGGTAGAGAACCAATGCCGCACCAAGTCGCTCGTCAGACCAGTCTTCTCAGCCAGCTCCTTTAACTAGGACAGAGTAATAAAGGTTTTATTAACTAGATGCAGGCGAATGTTAAAGCTGAACACCTCGAGGCTGCAAGGAAGCCATTAGGTTGGTTCTGATTTATCCTTGGTTCAATTTTAAGACTTTTCTTGTTGAGACAGTTATTCACTCTGGTTAGAACATCTTGACTTCTTTCCACTCTCTCTCCGATGTGGAACTGAATCTCTTATTGTGATCCAACTAATTATTTCTTATAATCTAACAGAAAACAAATACTGCATGCAAAGAGTCCTTCCAGATATTGACATGGTGATGACGTGAGAATATTGTGCAGCTCTAATCATTAGAAATGTCGTATATTAAATATTTACTACAGTTGCTTATACCGGGTGTTTTGTTTTGCTACTTTGCTTTAATCAAATAATTTCCGTCATACAGAGGGGACATGGATAATAGATGAGGACGAGAAAGAATGTTTATTAATCCAAAATAAAATACCAAAAGGAGAAACTTTTTTTTTTTTTTTTCTCCATACAAATTAACAAAACTACTACTTGAAGTTTGCGTCTCTGGAGTGGGAGGATAAAAACAGCAAAGAGATGATTTCACTCACAATAAAAACATCTAAAACTTTGCTCTTTCATCAGGAGGTTTTTCTCTTTTTTTCCATGTAGTTCAGTGAACAAAAGACTCATCTCTCTTGAGATAAAAGACGACAGATGAATTTAGGAGGAATCGAGACCTGAGGTGTGTCTTAAACTTCAAAGATCTCAGCAACGAAGGAGCTTCCTGAGAATCCCCTCAGCAAACAGAGCAGCACGGCTCGTATCTGAACAAAACACTTATATACATATATATATATATATTTTTTTTAAACTATCTAAAACATCACTCACTGAGCTAGGGGAGTTTCATGGTACGACGACGACGACAGTTTTACAGCTTCATGGTGCCTGATGTGAACCAACTGCAGTTACTCAAAAACAGAAAAGCATCAGCTACACCTGCTGCTGCAAAAATGACACAGCCTACAGTTTTATTAGACTCACATTATTGTTGATATTTATATAGAGACGAAAACAAAACAAAAAAAATACAGGATGAACACCTGTAAGTTTAGAAAACGCTTTCACGTACTCATTGCGCAAAACGTTTCACCGCCTTGTTGTTCTGCTCGCTGGTTGGTTAGCTGAGCTGCTCAACCAATTAAAAACCAGCGTTACAAACGCAAATAAATCACAGGAATGTTGATCACTTGGGTAGTTAACCTTTGAACTTCTGATTGTAACATTATTACTAAACACTTTAAAATCCTTTTTTTTTTTTTTTTTTTTTTTTTTTTTTACCCTTTTTGTTTTTTTGCGGAAAAAAAGGGGGGGGATTTTAACATTCTTTT